TTTAAGTGGTTTTTCTTACCCCATTTACATGTGTATTGGGCTAGACAAAGTTGTCTCACAACTCCCTGAATACAATTGTTTTCAGTATTTTTTCATTTTATTTTTTATACTACTTTTGTGTATAATCATTCTTTTTTTGTTTTTGAAATCTTAGGCTAATTTATTGTTTTTTTCCTCTCTGTGGCATCTCTAACATATAGTCATTGAACCTCTGCTGAAAACATAATCATTCTTTTGTATTGGAGAATTGGTTCTAGACTCCACTACCACTTCATGAACATCAAAATCTGCATGTACTCAATGAAGTTCCTTATATAAAATCACATATTATTTGCATAAAACCTAAACAATCTTCCCATATACTTTATTTGAAATTTTTTTTTCTTGAGAGAGAGAGAGAGAGAATTTTAATGTTTATTTTTTAGTTTTCGGCAGACACAACATCTTTGTTTGTATGTGGCGCTGAGGATCGAACCCGGGCCGCATGCATGTCAGGAGAGCGCGCTACCACTTGAGCTACGTCCCCAGCCCGAAAAATTTTTAAATTTGTTCTAATTAGGTATACATGACAGTAGAATGCATTTTGACATATTGTTCATAAATTCCTCTGGCTGAACATGGTGTAAAGTCACACCACTATTGTAATCATATGTGTATATAGGGTAGTAATGTCCATCTCACTCCACTGTCATTCCCATTCACCCCTTCCCCTCCCCTTATTCCCCTCTGCATAATCCAAAGTTCTTTCATTCTTCCCTCCCCTCCCCATCCCCCATTTTTGATTAGCTTCCACTTATCAGGGCAAACATTCAGCTTTTGGTTTTTTAGGTTTGGTTTATTTTGCTTAGTATGATATTATCCAGCTCTATCCATTTACCTGCAAATTACATAATTTCATTCTTTAAGGCTGAGTAATATTCCATTGTGTATATATACCACATTTTTTTTATGCATTCATCTGTTGAAGGGCATCTAAGTTGGTTCCATAGACTTATACTTTAAATCATTTCTAGATTACTTAAAATACCATGTGGATACAATATAAATCATTGTAATATGTATTGTTTAGGAAATAATGACAATAAATTCTGTACATACATAGTACAGATGCAACCATCATAGGCCTAACTACATGGCACACCTCAGTAGAACCATAGCTTTTTATTTATTTATTTTTGGCACTGAGTGTTGAATCCAGTGGTGCTTTACTGCTAAACTTTATCCCCAACTCTTTTTATGTTTTATTTTGAGATAGGACCTCACTAAATTGATGAGGCTGGCCTCAAACTTACCATCCTCCTGCCTCAGGCTCCCAAATCTCTGGGATTGCAGGCATGTACCATCGTGCCCAGCTAACATAGCATTAAAACAAAACAAAAAACCCACAAATATTTTCCACCTGAAATTGGTTGAATCTACAGATATGGAGAGCCAAATGTATTCTAATGTCTTTTCTTTTGCTTTTTCTAATGCCATTAATTTATCTAGTGTATTTTGCTTCTCAGATATTGTATTTTTTTGTTTGTTCCAGTTACTTATTAGTTATACATGATAGTAGAATGCATTTTGACACATAATACTAAATGGAGTATAACTTCTCATTCTTCTGGTTGTATATGAAGTAGAATTACACCAGTCATGTAATCATTTATGCACATTGGGTAATAATGTCCGATTCATTCAACTATCCTTCTTACCCCCATACCCTCCTCTCGTCCCTTCACTTCCCTCAGTCTAATCCAAAGTCCCTCTATTCTTCCCTAGGCATCCCTGCTTGTTGTGAACTAGCATCCGCATATCAGAGAAAATATTCAGTCTTTGGTTCTTTAGGATTGACTTATTTTCCTTAGCATGATATTCTCCAGTTCCATTCATCTACCAAAAATTGCCATAATTTTATTCTTCTTAAAGGCTACGTAATAGTCCACTGTTTATTTATACCACATTTTCTTTATCCATTCATCTGTTGAAGGGCACCTAGGTTGGTTTCATAGTTTAGCTATTGTGAATTGAGCTGCTATAAACATTGAAGTGGCTGCATCACTAGAATATGCTGATTTTTTTTTAAAGAGAGAGAATTTTTTTTAAGAGAGAGTGTGAGAGAGAGAGGGAGAGAGAGAGAGAATTTTTTTTTAATATTTATTTTTCAGTTTTCGGCTGACACAACATCTTTGTTTGTATGTGGTGCTGAGGATCGAACCCGGGCCGCACGCATGCCAGGCGAGCATGCCACCGCTTGAGCCACATCCCCAGCCCCGAGAGAGAGAATTATTGTGGCTGGGGAGTCAGGGAAGGCATGTCATTAGATTAGCCACATGTGGCTCTGGGAAGAGGAAAATGAAGGAAAAAAGTGGTGAAGGAATTAGAGGAGTCCAGCATGGTACTGTGCTTTTGCCTTCATCACCAAGTAATTCTGTGACTTTTAGGGAAATCTCTCTAAACATGAGTCTCTTCATTAGTCCTATAAGAATCATTAACCACCTCTTGCTCTGAATTCTTTAAAAAAATTTTTTTAGTTGTAGATAGACAGAATACCTTTATTTATTTAAAAAAATTTTTTTTAGTTGTCAGTGGATCTTTTTATTTATTTATATGCGGTGCTGAGAATTGAACCCTGTGCTTCACACATATTAGGCAAGTACTTTACCACTGAACTATGACCCCAGCCCCATTATTTATTTATTTTTATGTGTGCTGAGGATCAAATCCAGTTCCTCAATGTGCTAGGCAAGTGCTCAACCACTGAGTTACAACCCCATCTCAGATATTCTGAATTCTTTTTTTTTTAATTTTTTTTTAGTTGTAGATGGACACAATACCTTTATTTTATTTATTTTTATGTGGTGCTGAGGATTGAACTCAGTGCATCACAAGGCAGGTGCTCTACTGCTTAGCTACAGCCCCGACCCCTGCTCTGAATTCTTGACTATCAAAATGTAGTAAAGCGACACACCTTTCAGGGGTTTCTCAGGACTGAAAAGGAAAACAATAATGTTTGTGATATGCTTGGTGCTTAGGAAATACTAATAAAATCTGCTCCCATCCCTTTCCCTTGACAAAATGGAGATTAAAGGTATGTCCTTGTCCCAGGGAATCAACCCTTGATGTGAATGAGAGGAATGTCAGAAATTTCTGAATTAGGGGGAAATAGGAGGACTGTAGACTCTCAGGGTTCAGTGGCATCACAGGATGGGTTGTTGTGAGAGCTAAAAGGATAGGATGCTGAAGTCAGAGAGTAGGCTCTGGGGTTGAAGATATCAGAAGGTGGATGTTCCAGGTGTTTCTTCAGTGCTGTGGAGTTGGCCTAAAAGAAAAGTGAGGCCATTTTGGCTTGAACGTTCCTCTGATCTCTCAGAAGGAGTGGTAATACTGGCTTTGGAAGGGAAGCACGTTGAGAAACTATTGGAAATATTGTGGCATGATCAGGGCAGTAGATGTGGACAGTAAAAAAAGGGATTGTGTCTCCAAGGGAACAAGAATATCAAGATTGGAGAAGACTGACCCCAAAGCAGCAGTGAGGAACTTGGGTTCATTCCAGGCTACATGCAAGGGAGTGCACAGGGAAATCCAGGCTGTACTTGTCGGAGGATGGGAGGGTTACAGGACTTGAAGCTGGATGCCTTGAATTACACTGACTGCTACTGCTGCCCCAGATGGAATGGTTGGTATGTCTCTCTGACTAAACATCTATTTCTTCTTTTCAGTCAGGCTCCATCCCTTCCTCTATACCTAAAAACTGCCTCTGTCTCTCCCATTTTTCTCCATTCTCCATTAATACACACTTACTAGACCTCTTTCTTCCTTCTGGAACTCCACGTCCTCAGGAAGCTTTCAGAACTTATAGCTTCAAGGTGGAAGCAGCACTCGGGTTCCTGGCCTTTGCACTTCTCATCATTGCAACCTCCAGAACTTTGGAGCTACTTTTCTAGAACTACAGTTCAAGGAACCAGTTTCTCTTCTTTGTCTCTAGTCCTTTGCCTTGGCAATAAGGTATTGGTGACAGTATTTTCAAGCCTGTGCCTTGAGCTACCTTATCTCTGTAAGAATCTCTCTCTCCCCCACCAAATTAGCTAACCTATCATCCCAGTACTGTTTCTTATATAATTCATCTTTGTATGTGAACACTTACAAAGAATGGCTGTTATAGGAACAAAAAGGATCCAACTTGAACCAGCTCCCAAGAGCAGCTTCACTCAAGAGTCTAATGGGTACTCTGGTTGTTTCCTTTGAGGATCCAGAGCAAGTCCAGGCCCAACCTTAATCTTCATCATTTTAGTTATCCATCCTTTCTGTAGTCTGCTTCCTAGGACATAGACTGAGCTGTGTAACTGTCCACCAAGGAAACAACAGTCCTTCTTAGATCTGAATCCTTGTCCTGAGGAACTCACATTCAATGCCTAGCTGTCACTTGTCTTTTGCGCACATGCACACACGCGTGCGTGTGTAAGATAAATAGGTGGCGGGGAGAGAGAGAACATCAGAACAGCGGGCACCCAGTGTCTGTAGAAGCCATTTATTGCCTAATCCAAATATTCTTTTTCTGGACACATCACAAACTGAGACCCTTCAACTGAAATCCCAGTGTTTCTTCTTGAGCCATTAGTAAGGAATGTGATCTCTTTAGAGCTGATCCAGCTTCTGCCAAGGCAAAAGAAAAGAGAATCTATAAACTCAGTAATGGAGCAGACAGAACCAAAGTCTTAGAGTATTTCCTTGGAAAGCACCTGTAAGGGCATGTGAATTTTGCCCCTCCCCAAGGCTGATAGTTTATACACTTGCTGTTTTTCTAATTTTTATGCAAAGACATATGGCAGTGGCTTAATTTCTCTGAGGTTACTTTGGCTTTTCCAGAGCATAGCACTCACCATACAAACTAAGAACATAAATGCTACTAATACTGGTCTCTTGTGTGGTGTGCCCTAGTACCTGTAAGAAGAATATTGGATTCTGGTCCACAGGACCCAGCTCTACAGCTCTGACCAATCCTCTTTTTCTTCCAGGAAACTTGCATTTCTTCTCTAGTGGCCTTCTGTTTTCTCACCGTCATCATGGAAGTATCATCATTTCCAAGGATCACATGAATTCCCTTTCCTTCTATGATGGGGTAGGTGTTTTACAAGTTCATGTCTTTGGCAATCAGAAATCACCCACACTTCTGAGGTGAAAATCAAATATAATTTCCTGTCTTCCTCATCTCCTGAGGGGTAGGATGTCAGAAACCAGCATGGCCATTGAAGCAGGCTGGCAGTGAGGTTGAGAAAAGGTCTTTACACTGTCACAATGCTTGTGATCTTTGTCAACCTCATTTCTCTATTAAAGGCTAGTAAGGGCTTCCGGGTTAGAAGTACCTGTGCCCATTCACTCATCCCAAAAAGGCTTAGAAAGCAAGCCGAAAAGACCTCCAGTAGCTCCTTGCAAATGGCCTCCAGCATAAGGACACAAAGGCTCACCCAATTTAGAACTGGAAAGAATCTTTGTGACATTGATAAGGCTCCACCCCTTAGCCACGGGAAAGAATTATAAGTGGGTCGAAAAAGAAAAATGGTTGGGCTGGGATGTGGCTCAAGCAGTAGTGTGCTCTCCTGGCATGCGTGTGGCCCAGGTTCGATCCTCAGCACCACATACAAATAAAGATGTTGTGTCCACCAAGAACTAAAAAATTAAAATAATAATAATAATAAAAACCACAAATCCTATCTTTGGGGCTGGGGATGTGGCTCAAGCGGTAGTGCGCTCGCCTGGCATGCGTGCGGCCCGGGTTCGATCCTCAACACCACATACAAAACAAAGATGTTCTGTCCGCCAAAAGCTAAAAAATAAATATTAAAATTCTCTCTCTTTAAAAAAAAAAACAAAACTTAGAAATGATGTAAGAAATTCTGAAGAGCTGGTAGGGTGGTTCACTCCTGTAATCCCAGCAATTTAGAACATCGAGGCAGGAGAATTGCAAGTTCAAGGCCAGCCTCTGCAACTTAGCAAGATCCTGTCTCAAAATAAGAAATAAATAGGACTGGGGATGTAGCTCAGTGGTAAAGCACCCTTAGGTTAAATCCCCAGTGCTTATAAAAGAAAGAAATAAAGCAAGCAAGAAAGAAATTCTCAAGAAAAAATGTTTGTCAAAATTGCTCACTTGGGGCTGGGGATATAGCTCAGTTGGTAGAGGGCTTCTCATGCCCAAGGCCCTGGGTTCAATCCCCAGTATCACACACACACACACACACACACCCAGTATCACTCACACACACACAAAAAAAATGGATCACTTAATGATTTTTAATTTAAAACATGATTTAATTCATTGAAGTGTTCTTTAAATACAGTTAACGATGTCCATTGACAGCTCTGACAGTTGGGCATTTAGAGGTAGCTCATGTAAAATGTTAAACTAACATTGAGAAAACAATCTTCTGTCCATATTACTAATAATAAAGTGAAAAGGACAATAAGATTAACATTTTATATATAAGTTCTAGCCACTCTACCGTAAAATACTGGTTAAGTGTTACTTTATACCAAATACTGTACATGATGTATCTTGTTAAGTCCTTAAAACAATCCTATGAGGTAGGCATTAACAAGACTTGACAGAGAGAAGCAGCTCTGAGAGGTTAGCAAACTTGAGATAAAACAAATCTTTTAAAACTGAAGGTTTAAGTTGTGGTTTGCTTCATTACCACCTCAGATAAGTCTCATTCTACATTCTTAACCACTAGAAGAACTAAAAATCCAACCTATTAGCTAACTCTGCTCTTATCTAGGTAACCTAGGTGAGAATTTTCCCCACTGTAGTCTCAGAAGGAACTTCAATAGGGGTGAATTGTTGTTGGAAATTGTTAGATCACAAAATAAGGTCATTTAGTCATTAGTCATAAATTACTACAGGCTAGGTATGGTAGGGCATTCCTGTAATCCCAGTGGCTTGGGAGGCTGAGGCAGGAGGATCATAAGTTTGAGGCCAGCCTGAGCAATTTGTCCTATCTCAAAAAAATAAATTGAAAAAGGGCTGGGGATGTAGTTTAGTGGGAAAGTGCCCTTGGGTATATTCCTCAGTACAGTAAATAAATACATAAGTACTACATAATGTATAGGTTACCTGAAAAAGTTGTTTTGTACTTATTTTTACTTAAGGAAAAACATATCTTCCAGATGAAGGGAAATTTCATATTCCATTATTTGCTTGAGATGACAAAAGGAAGTCTTGAAATTAGATGTGATTAGAAATTCATCTTATTAATTCATAAAGCTGAAATTTTATGCTTAGGGTCTTTATGATGAGAATCATATAATTCAAAAATTGTTTTAAGGTCTTTCTGATAATCCAAGAACTAAATTCTCAGTTGCACTTGCCTTAATACATGGCTTTATTATGGTAATTTTAGAGTTTTTAAAATTGGACCTATATATGTGATGTAATTTAGAAATGTGAAAACAAATTTTCATTGTCAATATATAAATCTTTTTTATATACATTAATTATTTTCTATAACTTTAAAAAAGAAAAAAAACTTCTAACAGTCTAGCAATTATGTACAATCATGAAACAAACCATTATCACAAAACAGAAAATTTTCTTTTTTTTAATTTTTAATTTTTTTGTAGTTGTAGATAGGCAGCATGCCTTTATTTTATTTGCTTATTTTTTTATGTGGTGCTAAGGATTGAACCCAGTGCCTCATAGGTGCTAGGCGAGTGCTCTCCACTGAGCCTCAGACCCAGCCCCCAAGAAGATTTTCTTTACCCCAAAGTCTCCTTATGCCCTTCCTCCTACTTCTGGTTTCCTCATGCCCTTCCTGCACTCCTGGATTTTTATCCCTGTAAATTAGTTTGCATTGCTGATATATCATCAAGTATTCTGTACCCTTTTGAGTCTGACATTATCTATACTCAGAATGATTTTTAGATTTATTCCTATAATATATATGAATAGTTTGTTCCTTTTTCTTTTTTCTTCTTTTGTTTGAGTAGTATTCCATTGTATGGATTTATTGTAAAGATTTTTAGACTAATTAGTAATATAAAACTCTAAAGATATTTGGAAAAGAGAATTGGAAGGCAAAAAACACTGGAAAAAATATCTTTGGTGATTAAAACCAATGAGTTAATATTTTCTTTTCTATAAAGAGCTCTATCTTTTTTAACACGAAAACACTGATTCCTAAGAGGCATTCTTAATCAATAGAGGGAAGCACATCAGAAACAGCTATCATATGTAATAGTAAATAAACAAAGAGTAAATAAGAGAAGCAGTTAGCAGAGGAGAAATGGAGTAGGCGATATGAATGTCCTACCAAGGGGGTGGGGGTGGGGTGCCTGAGATGAGAATAGAGGGCAATCATTGGAAATGTTTATAGATAGTATATAAATTTTTACAGATGGTATGGTAGATGGTAATGGTCAGTTCAGTCTTAAATATAGAATATGGGCAGGGGGGCGCTGGGAATGTGTCTCAGTGATTAAGAGTGCTTGCCTAGCACATGCGAGGCCCTGCGTTCCAGCCACAGGACTGGGGGGAAAAAAAAGCAAACAGGATATGGACCCAGATGTGGTAGCAGATCCCTGTAATCCCAGTGATTTGGGAGGCTGAGGCAGGAGGATTATAAATTCTAGGCCAGCTTCAGTAACTGAGGGAGACTCTCATCTCAAAAATTTAAGAAAGGATGGGGATATAGCTTAGTAGTAAAGTGCCCTTGGGTTCAATTCCCAGTAGCACCAAAAATAAATAAATTTTAAAAATAATGTGGAACTGTAAATATGATTTTCTACCACATCAAAAGGGTAAGTCAGGGGCCAGGGCTGTGGCTCAGTGATAAGAGTATTTGCCTAGCATGTGTGAGTCAGTGAGTTCGATCCTCAGTACCACATAAAAATAAATAAATGAAATAAAGGTCCATCTATAACTAAAAAGTATTTTTTAAAAAAGGATAAGGCAGTGAGTTAAAAAACAAAAATAGAAAAAAATGCCAAAATATTAACTATAGTTGGGTTAAGGATGAGACTTTTTATCAATTTTTTAACCTTCATTCCCTGTTCTATTTTTTCCAAAAATTTATTTAATGAACATACTACTTGATCTTTAAAAACAAAAAACAAAGCCCTTTCCCTCTAATATCAGGAATAAGATTAGGATGTCAGCCTGCTTTTGCCACTTTTATTCTAACACAGTTTTGCAAGATCTAGCGGAAGCAATTAGACAAAAAGAAGAAATAAAAGGTATCTAAATTGGAAAAAAATAAGTAACATTATAACTGTTCATAAATGGCATGACCTCACATCTGCAAAACCTTAATCATTCCATAAGAAGCTTCTAAAACTAATAATTCACCAAAGTTATATGATAAAAAAATCAACATACAAAAATTAATTGCATTTCTACTTCCTAATAATGAGCAATCTGAAAAGGATATTAAGAAAGCAATTCCAAGGGCTGGGGCCGCAGCTCAGTGGCAGAGCACTTACCTAGCATGTGTGAGGTGCTGGGTTCGATCCTTAGCACCGCATAAAAAACTGAACAAATAAAGGCATGCTGTCTATCTATAACTGCAAAAAAAAAAAAAAAAGAAAGAAAGCAATTCCAAGCCAGGTGCAGTGGCACACACCTGTAATTCTAGTGGCTCCAGAGGCTGAGGCAGGAGGATCACAAGTTCCAAGCCAGCCTCAGCAAAAGCAAGGTGCTAAGCAACTCAGTGAGACCCTGTCCCTAAATAAAATACAAAATAGGGCTGGGGATGTGGGGATGTGGTTCAATAGTAGAGTGCCCCTGAGTTCAATCCCCTGTACCAACCCCCACCCCCACCCCCAGCAATTCCATTTACAGTAGCATCAAAAAGAGTAAAATACTTAGGAATAAATTTCAATGAGGAAATAAAAGATTTGTTTACCCAAAACTATGAAACATTACTGAAAAATTAAAGACAATCTAAATGAATAGAAAGACATACATTTTCATGGATCAGAACATTTAATACTATTAAAATGACAGTACTGGGACTGGGGTTGTGGCTCAGTGGTAGAGTGCTTTCAACTACAGTAGAAAAATTAACTCAGCACCACATAAAAAATAAATACATAAAATAAGGCTATTGTGTCCAACTACAACTAAAAAATAAGTATTTTTTAAAAAAATATAGTTAAAAAAATGACACTGTTACCCAAAGAAATTTGTAGATTCCGTGCAGTCCTATCAAAATCCCAGTGGCATTTTTTGCAGTATATAAATTTTTACAGAAATAGGAAAAACCATCCTAAAATTTATATGGAATTTAAAAAGGGCCTCAATTAGCTAAGACAGTCTTGAAAAAGAAAAACAAGCTTGGAGCTCTCTAACTTTCTGATTTCAAAACTTAAAACAAAGTTTCAGTAACCTAACAGTATAGTACTGACATAAAGTCAGATGTATAGACCAGCAAAATAGAATAGAGAGCCCAGAAATAAACTCTTGCATTTATGATCAAATGATTTTTTTTCCGTTGAATGCCTTTAATTTCTTTTCTTTTTTTTTTTAATTTTTTATTGTTGGTTGTTCAAAACATTACAAATTTCTTGATGTATCATATTTCACACTTTGATTCAAGTGGGTGATCAAATGATTTTTGATAAGGATGCCAAAACCATTCAGTGAGGAAAACACAGTCTTTCAAGAAATGGTGCTAGGAAAACTGGATATCCCATGCAAATTAAGTTGGACCCTACCTTCAACCATAGTAGAAAAATTAACTCAAAATGAATAAAAAAATCTAAGGAGAGGGAGGGGAAGGAAGGAGGCCTGAGAGTAGGAAGGATGGTGGAATGAGATGGACATCATTACCCTAAGTACATGTATGAAGACACGAATGGTGTGACTCTGCTTTGTGTACAACCAGAGATATGAAAATTTGTGCTGTATATGTGTAATATGAATTATAATGCATTCTGCTGTCATATATAACAAAAAGTATTAAAAATGAATAAAAAATCTAAATATAAAAGCAAAATGATTAACTGTTTTTAAAAAAACATAAAGGAAAAGCTTCATGACATTGGGTTTGTCAGTTATTTCTTAGATACTGCATTGAAAGCACAAATAGCAAAAGAAATAATATATAAATTAAACTTTATCCAAAATTAAACTTTTGCACATCAAAAGACACTCACTTGAGTAAAAAGAACCAAAGAATGGGAGACAGTATTTGCAAATCATATATCTGATTAAGGTATTAATATTTTAGAAGGAATTTTGAGATGACATTTTTATTTTTGGAAAAAAAATTCCTGTGCTGCCCAATCTCCTGTAACTGTATTGGAAAGTTCATTGAACCCCAGTAAATCACTCAGTGTGAAATAACTGCACTGAAATTGTTCTTGTGTATTCTGATTTTAGTTCTGAGGACAGGCATCATGAAATGAGTTTTCTTGCTAATGCTACTTTTTTTTCTCCTTAGGACTCTACCAGTGTTGTGGCTGCCCTTTTTATCAACTTCAGAAGCTCATTGCTTCCTCATCTCCCAGTTCATTTCCATGGATCAAGCAACTTTCTGATGATTGCTCTTTTCCCCAAATCAAAGATATATCAAGCATTTTACTCAGAGGTAACATCCCGTCATTTTTTTTCCTTAGCAATTTAAACAGTAAGATAGTGTGTCAGAGCTAATGGTGTGGTGTGAGAGGGCCTGGCACAGAGGCAACTTCTCTATATATTCTTTTGGTTCTGGCATGGTGCTCTTGCTAGTGAGGAGTAAGAGCCTAAAGGAAACTGAGTAAAAGGGTTTTCAACCTTTAAAACAAAAAACAAGCAAAAACTTAAAGTTAAAAAAAAAAAAACCTACTTTTCCCTTCCCCCACTTTTTTCTTGGTCCTGGGGATTGAAATAGGGGTGCTTTACCACTGAGCTTACATCCCCATCTCTCTTTATTTTTTGAAACAAGGTCTTGCTAAATTGCTTATTGGGTCTTGCTAAATTTCCTGAGGCTGGCCTCAAACTTGAAAACCTACTGCCTCAGCCTCCTAAGTTTCTGGGATTATAGGCATGCACTTCCACACTTGGCTGCTTTGTCCCCTTTAAATCCTAATTAGACTTATTTTCTTTCAGCCATTTTATCGAATCATAGGACCTACCTATTGAACTAGAGCTCTCCACCTTATCCCAGGCTCTCCTTCCCTATGGGTCATAGCCCTGTCCTTGTGGATAGTCCCACCTGGCAGCTGGCCAATTGTAGGTACTTAGCACAGATTGCACAGGAATTATCTGACCCACTTAGAGACCAGGCAGCAGCCAATCAAACCAATGGTCAGCTTCATGACTGGGGGAGATTCTTGGAAAGGTGTGATTACAGCAGCTTCTGAGAGGACAGTGTCCCTCCCTCAGGACAGATTCACAGAATGTGGAGGAACAAGAGCTGACTTCAGCTGCAGATTGGCTTCTTCAGTTAGTCTATTCTTCCCCCTAACTATTTCCTGGACTTTCTACCTCCTTGCTGTTGCCCTTTCAATCTGGGAACCTAGAGACAGCCTTTCAGATTCTCTTCAGCCATTCTTCTGCCTCTAGACAGAAGTTACTTAAACCACTGATATCTACTTTATCTCCAGGAAAGAACATGCCCCTGTTTCCTAGCACCTTCCTCAAGGCTTCCTGACCTCTGGAAGAGCAGAATACTCAAGGAGCGGAACCCAAAAAGATAGTTCTGATTCTGAAAAATACAGAACAAAATTGCTTCAGGTCTTATTTAAAACAACAACAACAACAACAAAACCCTGTTTGTTAAAATGGTTTTTCTCTGTACAGACAGTCTAGATTTTCAACAATCATCAAATCCCCATGTGGGTTCCATATCCTGTTGTTGGGTTTAAAGTATTCTTTGCTCAAATTCTGTTTTGTTTAGGTCTTCTCCCCCTGGCAACAGCAGGATAACTCAGGGCTCTCTTTAAAAGTGATCCAGGAAGATGGATTATCTGTGGAACAAAAGAAATTGTAAGTGGCTGCCTTCAATGTTTGTGCTTGCTTCCCTAAGCTTTGTGGGTGTGCTTTCTGTAGGATGACTTACATTATGTAACACAGGGGTCTTGGCTTCTGAAAGGGCCAGTAGTCATTTCAGTGATGCCAACTTGCAAGTAGCTAGTGCTCTTGGGAAATAGAAGGCAAGAGAAATGAAATCTACTAAGAATCAGAAACTGATACTACTGTCAAGGGCTTTCAGACCATTCATCCTCTGTGGGCATGCCAGTCGTCATGCACTCATACCACATTTTAAGTCAGTGAGATGCTTATTTTGGAAGCATTGACTCTGTCATGGGATTTGGCTTGAAAGCCTGCCTCAGAACCAGTTGTGTAAAGTATGCATGCTGTATGGAAGTGGAATTCTAATCTGTGATCTTTTGGTATTCTAGGCACTCTAGTGCGCAGAAACTCTTTCGTGCCCTGAACCATCCTGCTGGGGAGAAGTGGAGTTCTTCAAAGCTGCTCTCAGCTAAACTCCCAGAGCTGGACTGGTGAGCTTTGGGTGTCTGATTTTAGATGTTTAATGTTCTAGCTTTTGAAATGTCAGAAACCTCAGGGTTGGTCCTTTCTAAAACCCCCCTTTTCTCCATAGTTTCTTAGGGATCCTTGTAAAAAGGTAGTAGTGATGCACCATATACAATTTTATTCTCTAGAGAGAATTTCTCTAAGGCTTATTTTTTAGCAGTTCAGTAAGAAGTTGTTGTGAGTGGGCAGATCAGGCAAGGCTGGTGATGGTGACATGTTAGCACTGTCTTTGTTTTTCCAGGTTTCTTCAGCATTTCGCTGTAAGCAGCATTAGTCGGGAGCCTGTGATGAGGATCCATCTTCCGATCCTGCTGCAGCAAGCTGAAATCAGCCCTCCTCACAGAGCAGAAAATGACAAGGTAGAGAAGCTCACCAAATATGCTGGGAATTCACAGGAGGATAATCCTTAAAGCCTGCCCTTGGGTCTTTTTTGTCAGTTAACAAAAGGAGCTCAGGTGGAGTCCCTTTTATAAGACGCTCTACCTCCTTGGATACTGATGTAATGATATACATGAAACCTGCTCTATACAATGACTGTGTCAGGCCAAGTCTCATGACAGTGATAAATCCTGGCATCTTGCCATGCCCTCCCTTTGCTTTTCCAGGTCTTTTAAACTTTCATTCAGTGCTCTCAGCTCTTTCTGGTTGTGCAAAGGACTTACTTAGCAGTGGATCTGTTGCACATAATAAGGGTTAGAGTGCCCATGTTATTTGGGCCTGGGTGGAATCACCAGAGTAAGATGATACTCTATAAACATTGTCTCCACAGAGTGGATTTTAACTACTCTTACCTCACACTTCTCTCCTCTTGACCTCCTCCCACTGTCCGTTTGTTCCTTCAGGAGACATGTTATAATAGACTCAAAGAGGGCATTCGTTTCTGTGCAAATCAGCTGCAAAAGGAAATAGAATCACTAAACCATTAGAAGCATCATTTGTTTCCCTTAGATGAAAGTATAAAATGTTTGAAAATGCTTCTTATATTTTATTTAAAAAGGTGCTATCAAGTTGGATGTGGTGGCACAAACCTGTGATCCCAGAGACTCCAGAGACTGAGGCAGGAAGATTACTAGTTCAAGGCCAGCTTTGGCAACTTAGCAAGATCATGCCTCAAAATTAAGTAAAAAGGGCTAGAGGTGTAGGTCAGTGGTAGAGGGCCTCTAGGTTCCATCCCCAGTACAACAAAAAAAAAAGTTAGAAAGTGTCTGCCTTTATACATATGTACTGTGATATGAAGGGCTAAGACCTGGGCAGAGTGAGGAGTAGGAACTGATATGGGGAAAGCTGAATGGAGAAGGATAAACAAAATGTCGATGTGGAGTACTGCACAGGGGCAATAAGGATTACGGTGTACAGGCCCTGGTTAGAGGGGAGGAGGGAAAGCTCTGGGTTCCTACACACACAAAAAGAGGGATCCCTAGCCATCTTTGTGCTGATGTGGTCAGCTTGGATAGTAAGGGCCACAGGGATTAGCTTGAGTCTATGTTACCTGTGACTAGGCCTGTCTCAAAGAGTCTTGCCTATTGTAAAATAAAACAAAATACGTACTTATTGAGGTCTTTGCTATGCTCTGTCATTTGCATAGACATCATTCAGTAGTTGCCTGGTTCCTGCTTGACCCCTTCTTTTTCAATGAAAAAAAAAATTTATTTTTTTGGTACTGAGGATTAAACACAGAGCTTTACACAAGCTAAGCAAGTGCTTTGCCACTGAACTAAATCCTCGGACTTTTTTATATTTTATTTTGAGACAGGGTCTCAAGAAATTGCTTGTGCTGGCCTTGAACTTGCAAATCCTCCTGCCTTAGCCTCAAATACCTGGGAATATAGGCATGTACCATCACACCCAGTCTCAGTGAATTTCTTAAATGGCTTTATAGTATCTACCTAAAGAGGGGCCTGTTTTTTCTTTTTTTTGTGTGTGTGTGTGTGTGTGGTGCTGAGGATTGAACCCAGGGCCTTGTGCATGCAAGGCAAGCACTCTACCAACTGAGCTATATCCCCAGCCCAAGAGGGGCCTGTTTTTTGTGGCCACGTAATGAGGTGAGGACAATCCAGCTGGCTTCTCTTTTCCTTAGGAATCAGAAGTGCTTCCCCATGCCCAGTGAATTTTGTTTCAGGCCAGGCCATGTGGCTCAGGGACACAGGCAGCCAGGCAGAAACATCCACAGGGCAGCTCCTGTCCTCTGCCAAGTTTGTCACACCAGTGTAGCCTAAGGCACTTTTGTCTCAGACCTCCTTTCTGCCTATTATTTTCCTGAGAAGTATTATTGTTGGAAATAGTCATCTTATCCCTGAATGTCTGCTTTACAAAAGAGGTTTGTGGTCTCAAGCAGATCGGCTTTTTAATACATTAAATTTTAACTGATATATTCACAACCTGTTTCACAGCAATTAGAATAGTAAGACTACATTGTGTATGGTATTTGTTATATGCCAGGCACTATTCTAAGCACTTGAAATAAATTAACTCTGTTACTCCTTACACCCAACCCTACAAGATAGGTTTTGTCATTGTCCCAAGGTCACAGAGCTGATGAATAGTGGTGCTGAGGCTCAAGCCCACAGAGCCTGACTCCAGAAGTTCAGTTCTCTTAACTTCTTACTCAGTGCTGCCTCTTGGTTGAATTGCAAACCCACATGACTTTTCTTTCATGTAGGTAATTATCAGCATTGTAACTGGCCTGCCAGGCTGTCATGCTAGTGAGCTCTGTGCTTTTCTGGTCACTCTCCATAAGGAATATGGCAGGTTAGTATGTCTGCTGCCTTTGCTTTGGGAATGGGATTCTATGCCTGGGCCTGTCTAGTAATGGGGTGACTTTAGACCTCATACTGGTCTTTGGTGCAACTGGTATTGGCACAGTAGTCATCCATCCATCTGTTTGTTTAACACACTATGCTGAGTGCTTCCTGTATGCCAGCTACTGATCTAAGTGTAGGGAATACATCACTGAGCAAAACAGAAGACAGTCTCTACTCTAATGGAGTTTACATTCTAGTTTGGGAAGACACTTAACCAGGTAAGGAAAATAGTCTATATTAGCTGGTGTAAAAGGCTTTGGAGAAAATAAAGCAGAGAAGTGCAGACTGGGAGAGGGATTCCAGTTTTAAATTGAGTGGATGGTTAGGGAAGACCTCACTGAAAAGGTGATATTTCCACAACGACCTGAAGAAATAAGGGAGCTAATCATTTGGTATCTGGGGAAGAGCACAGCAGCAGGTTGAGCAAATTCAAAGGGATGGGAGTGTGCCTGATCAGCAGGGGGACGGTCTGTGCCATGGTGATCATAAGAACTTGGGAGCTAGTAGAATTAGTGAACCTTCCATGACCACAGAGGGACCACATGAGTACTGGTGCAACTGGGACATGTTGGCTCAGGTGAAACTGGGAAAATTATTCATCCATCACTTCACTGGACTGGCAGATGATTAATCAACTCTTCTTGACTGACCTGGGTACAGAATATCTAGTCAGTGTACTCCAAAGTAAAGAATCCTGCAGGAGACTTTAAAGGAATTAAGAAAACTAAAATTGCATTGGGAATTTAGTGTGAGAAATTGCAGGAAATGAGGAGAACAGTTTTAGAGAAATGCTAGGGAATTATTGGGCCTTGTTTAATAAACACTTAATGGCTAACCAGTTCATCATGTCTAGTGCTGTTATTCTATAAACATTCTGAATTCTTTACCTGCCTATTTCTTATTCTTAGCAAGAGTTTTACTAAGTGCTGTACTGAAACCATTTATTGCATGGTTCTTCAGAAAATCACTGCCCGGTGAGAGGTCTTTCTCACCTCTGAAGTCTATTGATCATGAGCTTACTTGTTTTCCCTGTGGCAGGGGTTTTCCTGTCAAAAGTGCCAGTGATAGTAGCTTCCAAATTTGGGGCTCTCAATGCATCTAGTACTTTCTGCCTTTTTCTGTGACCCTAGGATTGCTTTATCCTATATGGATTCAGTGGGCAGAATGTCTTTGGAATACAGGTCACATTTGAATCCATTATTGAGCCTACAGGGCCAAGCCATCAGGTAGCCCCGGTGCTGAGATTACATTTCCATTTCCAGGTGGATGGTGTACCGCCAAATCATGGATAGCTCTGAATGTTTTCATGCTGCCCACTTCCAGAAGTATCTTTCTAGTGCCCTGGAGGCCCAACAGAATCGCTCTGCCCGTCAATCAGCCTACATCTGCAAGAAGACCAGACTGCTGGTAGTGTTACAAGGGTAAGTATTTGACATCTGGGTACAGTTGGATAGGGTAGTAACCTTGGCATTACTGTTACTTAATGTGTAGCAAACCTGGGGCACAGAATAAACCTTGCATGGGCACAAACACTGTCCATGCTACACAGACAGGCTAGGCCTTGATCCAACAAGCATCCTATTACCATATTGTGGGTTAGAGTGGCTAGAATAGTTTACATAAGTTTCAGGTTTGGTTTCAATACCAGAAGGTGCAAATTAGGGAATCTATTCAAGTTTCTCTGATAATTCTTGGAACAATAGTGGTCTCTAACCCTCTTTCTTTGTCATCTAGATAAGGGGGCCTCATCTGTTTTACTCCTTCCTCCTGCAGAATTGCAGAGGTGGCTCCTATACTCAGCTGTCTGCAGTACCCCTATTCCCTGTATGGCTAGCTCTGAAGGGTTTCTTAGGACCCTCAGTAAGGAGCATGTATTGACCAGTTAGGTAAGAAGCCCCCTGTTCATGACTGGTATAGAACCATTATTATAGCCTCCCAGCTCCTTAAGTCCCTGTGTAAGTAGGATTATCATGGGCATGCAATATCTAGGCAAGTACTCTACTACTGTCAGGTTTGACAGAGCATATACTACTGTCCTGACTGAACGATGGTCCCTTGACCTGTTGTTCTCAGGCCTCTAGGGAGGAGCCCCTCACAGGCCCATTATCATCTGGGCCCACAGAGGAACATGCCAGGCCAGGAAAACATGTGCTCTGCCTTTCACTCTTTTATTATGGTTGATAATAAAGAAGCTTTTGGATGTTCTCACAAAGTGCTTTTGTGCCATGCTACATTTTTTGTGGTCATAATAATCAGTGTTTGCAATAAGTTAGTCATTTCCAGTAAAGAATGGGCCAGGATCCAAGGCCCTGTTGGGCACCTGGCTGTGATGATGGGAAGTTGAAGGATCTGGGATGGTGGTCCCGAGGAAGGAGGCAGGTGGAACTGTGCATATTCAGGGCCATCATGCATTGGCAGACCTTGTTATCGCACCCTTCCTCCATCTTCTCTTCTGTCAGCCCTCTTGTCCTACCTGTGAGCTCAGGTCATGGAAACTACAGAGGAAGAGTCTAGACATGAAACTACTTGATTTCTTTAGGTTTTTCATTACTTCTACTGGTCAAAGGAGTGGGTTGACCCAGCTTCATCACCTGCTCCTACCAGAGTTGAGAGTCACTGGGATTGTGGACCTGGAGGGAAATTTGGCAGCTTGCCACTGTGCAGCTGAGGTCATTTTCACCCTCCATCATTTTAGAGAGCATCATTGACCCCTTTTCTTTGACTTTACAAGCCTGCAAAAGTATCAGCTGTCTCAGAGTCTGAACTGTAGTACAATAGATGATTCTCTCTCTCTCTCTCTCTCTCTCTCTCACACACACACACACACACACACAGAGAGAGCCACCTCGGCAATTCTGCAGGATGAAGGAGTAAAACTGTCATTTTAATGCAATAGAATTTCCTTTGGGAGGTTCTAGCAGGATTCTCTTGATGACCAGAGTGAATGGCCAAGGACCTTCTCTTTTGGGGCAGTCCCAAATGCACAAGCCTTATCAAAGAGCCTGCAGCCTGTTTTTACTCTAACCTTTTCCACTAAAATTAATGAAGATTAACAGATGCTCCATTAATCTCCAGGTTCCCCAGCCACCCTTTCTAAGGGAAATTCTATTGCACTAAAATGACTGAAATCCGTGTGTGTGTGTGTGTGTGTGTGTGTGTGAGAGAGAGAGAGAGAGAGAGAGATATAAATAGATAGACAGACACTGGCAGTTGAACCCAGTCCTCTTAATTTTTTATTTGAGACAGGGTCTCTAATTTGCTGAGGTTGACCTTGAACTTGTGATACTTCTTCCTCAGCCTTTCAAGTAGCTGAGTTTATATCCTTGAGATTAATAGGACTCTATTGCTTATAATGAACTTGGACAAGAAAGAACCACCAAGCACCAAGAAAGGGAGGCTCCAAGAAAGAGCCTCCCTTTTCAGAAGGGGGAAAAGTTATTGTTGAGAAGTGCGGTTGAAAGTTAAATCCATTTAATGCTCCCACAAAGTTCTTTGGAGCAGGCAATATGCAAGTGTCCGTCCCATTTACCATGTGTGCTGCTATCAAGACTTGGCAGTGCCTACAGTGTGTGGTGCTCTCCTGGTATCCAGGCCTACCCAGGCACTACAGTGGAAAGATCCCCATGTGACTATCCATACACACATGTCCAGACAGGGAGAAAAGTCATCAAGCAGAGGGCTTGCTCTCAAAGCATGCGCACGGGCAGCTAAACTTAAGGTCTTTTGTGTGAATTTCCAGAGACACCAAATAAATAAAACACAGACACACAACACACTTAACCTTTAAACAAGCTTCAGGACAGCTTCTCCGCTCTCAGCTCCCCAAATAGGAGACCAAGAGAAAGTCATGAAAGGCTGGCAAGAGAAAGCGAGCACTTTTGGAAGTGGGCTTTTACTGGGGGGACCTTTATTCTTAGAAAATTCCATTCAAAAAAGGTCAGAAGGGGGGCAGGGTTACAAAGGACAGGTGGAGCCATGGGGCAACATGCCTACTTCTGAAGACGTGCCCTCAAACTTCGGGACAGGGCAATGTGCAGGTCACTACAAGGTGTAGTGAAGGTCAAAGCCTCTCTGCTCCAGGATGGAGGGCGTGAATCTATTCAGAGTGGCTCCCCACAAAGCCTCATGGGGGAACTCCCCCCACACCAAGGCCAAGGACCGAACTGAGGGCCTTGTGTATGCTAGGCAAGTGCTCTACCACTGAGCAAAATCCTCAACTCCTCATACGGAAACTCCTGAACTTAGCACCCCTTGTCCTCTAATGAAGTTCTGCTGACTGGACAGGATTGAGGCCAGACCTGGGTAGGAGGTAGGAGATGTTGTAGTGTGGAATGAAGCCAAAGGCTTTTTTGCAGATGAGTTGTTTGTAGAAACTTAGGAAATGGCTCAGGCAGGCTTTACCTTCCCCCACCTGCCACTGACCTCCTAAGGGCACAGAGAGACCGAGGCTGATCTAATACACAAGGCTGTGTGTCAGGTTTGACTTCCCTCCACAAAAACAGACCTTTTGGTGATAGTCTAGGTCAATTGGGACAGTGTGAGTGTTGTCCACCATGTGAAGAGGGCAGGTCCCCTCTGTGTGGCCAAGGGTCTACAGTGGGGCAGGGTGGGGTGCCAAATATCCCTACCCTGTTCATCTACTCTACTTTAGGCACTAGGGAGTATAGCACACAACAACTACATTTTCATTGCAGACCATCAGTAAACAAATGAGAAAAGACAACATGTAAGAAAAAGACACAATAAAAGAAAAACCCAACAAAAATAATAAAAAGAACTTACATAACTAATGATCAGTGCTTTTAGGGGGGAAAAAACTGGGGGAAAAGAGCATGGAGTTCCAAAAGGGAGTATTGCTGTATTGAACACAGTGTATGAAGTCAGAGGATGCCTCTCATAAGATGCCATTTTTGTGTTAAAGCACTTACCTAGCATGCACAAGGCCCCAGGTTCAATCCCAAGCACTGCAAAAATGAAAACAACAAAAAAATGCCACTTGAGCAGAGACCTGAAGGGAGAAAGGAATCGAACTGTCAGATATCAGAAAAAAAAGAGCATTCCAAGTAGAGGAGAAAGGAGAATACTAAGGTAGAAGTATGCCTGGCATGTTCAGGGAAGAGCCAGGAGGCCAGAGTGGTGGGATTAGGGGAAGGGACAGGATGGTAGATGAAATTCTTCCCTGTATTGTGGGGGATTAGATCATAAAGGGCTACCTGACTTATTGTTAAGGGCTTTGGCTTTCAGACTGGGTTTTGAACAGTGATGCCATTATTTGACTATGGGGTTAATATATCCCTCTAGCTTCAGTGCTGAGAACAAATTGGAAGGAGGAAAGGACAGAAGTAGGGGACCAGCTGGGAGGCTGTTGGCATGATCTAGGCAGGAGATTGTAGCAGTTTGGACTCACTGGTACTGCAGGTATGTGAGCAATAATCTCTTCTAGTTACATGTTGAAAACTGAGAAAAAATGGAGTCAATGAAGACTCCAAATACATCTTTTAGCCCAGCTTCCGAAAGTATAGAGTCCCCTCTGATAAGGAAGACACAGCCTTGGGAGGAGCAGACTTGGAGATCAGATTATGAACTATTAGGTTCAAAGTAAAGATATTCAAATTGGCTCTAAATCTGGGTTTTGGAGGAAATTCCAAGCAGAAGACAAGAATGCAATCAGTATTTGACACATCTACTGCTCTGAAGAGGTCTGATGATCTTTTTTTAATATATTTTTTTAGATATTTATGGACCTTTTATTCATTTATTTATATTGCTGCTGAGAATCAAACCCACTGCCTCACACATGCTAGGCAAGTGCTCTACCACTGAGCCACAACCCTAGCCCCTCTGATGATCCTTTGAAGTGGAAAGGAGGGGAAAAGAACAACTAAAAAAAATAGACATCAGCAGGAGTTCCTAACTTGATTAGAAAACATGCCCCAAAGCTGGCCTCTAATCCCAGTGACTCAAGAGGCTGAGGTAGGAGGATCTCAAGTTTGAGGCCAGCCTCAGCAACTTAGTGAAACCATCAACAACTTAGCATGACCCTGTCTCAAAATAAAAAATAAAAAGGGCTTGGAATGTAGCACCCTTGGGTTCAATCCCTAGCGTAAAAAAAAGGGATCTAGAAAAAAACAGGCCTAGGGACATCAAGTAGGGGAGCCCTGTAATCACTGCAGGCTTCCTTTACCCCATGAACAGGTTGGCTCTTCTACCCATTCTTTCACAGTTAGGAGGACTAACAGAACTTGGGAATGTAGAAGCACTTTGGGGATTCCTGGGATTCTGAATTACGAAGTTGAATAACAGACACCAAGGAACTCAATTATAGGCTATTGGTCTTCCTTCTGTCCCTGCTAACTCAGCCACTCAGCATGCCTCTTACCCGTCTCTGTAGCTCCAACCAGTATTCCTTTTTTCCCCCTCAGCTACACGGATATAATTGATGTCATCCAGGCCCTGCAGACCCACCCAGACTCAAATGTCAAGTCCTTCTTCACCATTGGTGCCATCACGGTTTGCATGGAGCCCCTGAGCTGCTACATGGAGCACAGGTAGATATTTAGGACCACCTTCAGCCCATGGGATGTGGTGTGAGTAAATGTACGGAAATCGACATTTTCCTTACCCACCAGAAGACAAATATTTATGTATGTTTGACTTTTGGAACACTTCAGTGTGCCTTGTATGTAATAAGTGCTCGGTCATCAAGGGACCCAAAAAGCCCAAGGGAAAAGAGAGTCAATATTGGGTACATTCTTAGCCTTTGTGAGGACAAGAACCATTTCCATTTAATACTTAGTATATAGTGCTCATGAAATATCTATTGAGGGCTGGAGATGTGGCTCAGTAGTAGAGCACTTATTTACCCATTATGCATGTGAAGCTCTGGGTTTAATCTCCAGCACTGAAAAGAAAGAGTACAAGAATGGGTACTCCAGGCTGAGGTTGTGGCTCAGTGGTAGAGCACTTGCCTAGCAAGTGTGAGGCACTGGTTCGATCCTCAGCACCACATAAAAATAAATACATAAAATAAAGGTATTGTGTTCATCTACAACTAAAAAAAAATTTAAAAAAAAGAATGGGTACTCCAATATGTGTATACTAAGTGTCCTCAAAGATAGTTTAAGATATTAAAGGTCTCAAAGGGGCTGGAGGTGTAGCTCAAGAGCAAAGCCATTGCCTAGCATGTGCAAAGCCATGGGTTTGAAACCCAGCACTGTAAACAAATGAAAAAAATAAAATAACCGAGGATGAGTGTATAATATAATCTGTCTAAACATAGAAATGAGACTAAAGTGAGGTGATTATGGTTATAGAATATAAAATATAAGCAATAGAATCAGGGGTAAGTAATAGGAAATATGAGTATACTCATTTCCTCGTTTTTTCAGACTGGGAGATTAGAAATATTTAAGTAAATAAATTCAAAGATACTGATTTGCTCAATTTTTAGATATTAATGAGAAATTTCAAAATTACTAATCTGAATTCCTTCCAGAAAATAATTTACTATAGTAGATTTACCAATGCTCTATTGAAAAATTAATGATTAGCTCATGGTGTACGTGGATAGAATAAAAGAGTTATGGATACTGTAATCAAGAATAGAAAGTTATAGCCATGTGCAGTGGCACACATCTGCAATCTGGCTGCTCAGGAGGCTAGGCAGGATTGAAAGTTTGAGGCCAGTCTGGAAACTTTGATTATGTCTCAAAATAAAAAAATTAAAATGGCTGGGGAGATATAGCTCAGTGGTAGAGTGCCACTGGGTTTAATTCCCAGTACAAGAAAAGAAGGAGTAGGGGGCCAGAGGGGGAAGAAAGGAAGAGGAGGAAGAGCAGAAGGAGAAGAATAGAAAGTTACTAAATAGATGGATGAGGCACACCTGTAATCCCAGCAGTTTGGGAGCCTGAGGCAGGAGGATTGCTAGTTCAAAGCCAGCCTCAGCAAAAGTGAGGCACTAAGCAATTCAATGAGTCCCTGTCTCTAAATAAAATACAAAGTAGGGCTGGGGATGTGGCTCAGTGGTCAAGTACTCTGGGTTCAATCCCTGGTACTCCCCTCCAAAAAAAAAAAAAGGAGACTGGGGATCCAACATGGCGGCGAGTGGGGAGGCAGCGCTTTCAGTACCTCCTCAACAACGGGGTCAGAGAAACGCATGGATACGCTTAGATTCGACCTGCTGAGAAACTCCTAGCAAAATTCCACTAAAGAGAGACCGGCCGGGAATTGGTAGGATTTTTGGAGGTGACAGTTTGCGCTAGACGAGTGAATCTCCGCCACGCAGCGCAGAGGTCCAGACCCGCCAGCCGCTGCCCGCGCGACTCAGCGACTGTCGGCTGCCTGCACGCGGCCCCCGCGTCAGGGCAGATAGCCTCCGAGGCGCAGCGCAGCAGGAGCGGTGCAGGGACTCTAGGAAGAGGTCTCTCGCCAAGCCTTCATGAAATAGCGAACCAGGAGCTGAAACCAACCAGAGACAGACCAGTCCCACCCCTCCCTTCAGACACTCCGGCAAGGAGCCTGGGGCCCGCCATAGCAGAGAGGTGACATCACCAGAGTTCCGCCGACAGAATTCCTTCCCAGCGGAATCCACGTTAGCAGCACATAGAGGGCAGAAGCTCGGCTCGGAGGGCACAGCTCTGCCTATTGGAAGAGAAGAAAATGGGATTCAGCCATAGAACAGGGGATGCCAGCATGGCAGAGATCTGATGTCATCGGAGAGCGGCCGAGGAGAGAACTTCATCGGTGCCAGCGGCGACGGAAACAGTTGGTCTCCTGGTAGGGAGGGTGAGTCACAGATACCCGAGTCTCTCTCGCTTTGTCCTCGAGCCAGAGGGGAGGAGCGGGGCCGCCGCCCACGCCCGCCAGGTAGGCAGACCTGCGACCAACCTGCAGATCAGGCCCAGCGGTCTGTGGGCGTGGTAGGAGGGGCAGGGCAGAGCCGCCGCCAGCGCTGGCAAGGTAAGCAGACCTGCGACAGACCGGCGGATCAGGCCCAACGGCCTGCCAGCATGGTACACACTTCACCCCAACTGGAGTAGGGGCAGAGCAGAGCCTTCGCCCGCGCCCAGATCAGGCCCAGCGGCCCGCCTGTGTGGTGGTCAAGTGACCCCAATTGGAGTGGGGGCGGAGCGGAACTGCCACCCGTGCCCGCAAGGTGGGCAGACCGGCGACCAACCTGTAGATCAGGCCTAGCGGTCCCCGGGCGTGGTAGGAGGGGCAGGGCAGAGCCTTCGCCCCCACCTGCAAGGTAGGCAGACCTGCGACAGAACGGCGGATCAGGCCCAGGGGTCCGCGGGCGTGGTAGACACCTCACACCAATTGGAGGAGGGGCAGAGCAGAGCCCCCGCCCGCACCTGCAAGGGAGACTTTTCAACTATACAAGAGCAATATAAATATATAGGGGGGGAAAAAATTTCAAAAACACAACAGTTTCACCAAGAAGAAAGAAACGCAAGCAGTATGAAAAGACAAGGAAAGAAAGGACTACAAGCAATGCAGGTCAACTCAACTTTAGAAGAGGTAACAGCTGCAGCAGATGGAATGTCAGATAAAGAATTCAGGATATATATGCTTCAGATGATCTGGAGTATCAAGGAAGACATTAGACAGCAAAATCAGACAATGAAAGATCACTTCGACAAGGAATTACACAAACAAATCCAGGAAGCAAAGGATCAACTATACAGGGAGATAGAGGTTATAAAAAACAAACAAACAGAAATCCTAGAAATGCAGGAAGCAATAAACCAACTTAAAAACTCAATTGAGAGTACTACCAGCAGAGTAGAACACTTAGAAGATAGAACATCAGACAATGAAGACAAAGTATTTCAACTTGAAAAGAACATAGACAGCTCAGCAAGACTGTTAAGAAACCATGAGCAGAACATCCAAGAAATATGGGATAACATTAAGAGACCAAACTTAAGAGTCATTGGGATACAGGAAGGTATAGAACTCCATACCAAAGGAATGAGCAATTTATTCCATGAAATAATACGAGAAAACTTCCCAGACTTGAAGAATGAGACAGAATCCCAAATTCTAGAAGCCTACAGGACGCCGAATGTGCAAAATTATAAGAGATCCACACCTAGACACATTATAATGAAGATGCCCAACATACAGAATAAGGAGAGAATTTTAAAAGCTACAAGAGAAAGGAAGCAGATTACATTTAGGGGTAAGCCAATCAGGATAACAGCTGATCTTTCAACACAGACTCTGAAAGCTAGAAGATCCTGGAATAACATATTTCAAACACTGAAAGAAAATGGGTTCCAACCAAGAATTGTGTATCCAGCGAAATTAAGCTTCAGGATGGAAGATGAAATTAAAACCTTCCACGACAAACAAAAGTTAAAAGAATATGCAGCTAGAAAACCATCTCTTCAAAACATCCTCGGCAAAACATTACAGGAAGAGGAAATGGAAAATAACAATGAAAACCAACAGTGGGAGGTAGGACAGTAAAGGGGGGGGAATAATCAAAGAGGAAAACAAACCATGTTTAGTAACATAAATAAACAAATATGGCTGGAACAACAACCCATATCTCAATAATAACCCTAAATGTTAATGGCTTAAACTCACCAATTAAGAGACACAGGCTAGTAGAATGGATCACAAAACAAGACCCAACAATATGCTGCCTACAGGAGACGCATTTGATAGGAAACGACATACATAGGCTGAAGGTGAAAGGTTGGGAAAAATCATATCACTCATATGGACTTCGGAAACAAGCAGGAGTGTCCATACTCATATCAAATAAAATAGATTTCAAGCCAAAGTTAATCAAAAGGGATAAAGAGGGACACTACATACTGCTTAAGGGAACCATACACCAACAAGACATAACAATCATAAATATATATGCCCCAAACAATGGTGCAGCTATGTTCATCAAACAAACTCTTCTCAAGTTCAAGAGTCTAATAGACCACCATACAATAATCATGGGAGACTTCAACACACCTCTCTCACCACTGGACAGATCTTCCAAACAAAAGTTGAATAAGGAAACTATAGAACTCAATAACACAATTAATAACCTAGACTTAATTGACATATATAGAATATACCACCCAACATCAAGCAGTTACACTTTTTTCTCAGCAGCACATGGATCCTTCTCAAAAATAGATCATATATTATGTCACAGGGCAACTCTTAGACAATATAAAGGAGTAGAGATAATACCATGCATCCTATCTGATCATAATGGAATGAAACTGAAAATCAACGATAAAAGAAGGAAGGAAAAAGCATACATCACTTGGAGAATGAACAATAGGTTACTGAATGATCAATGGGTTATAGAAGACATCAAGGAGGAAATTAAAAAATTCTTAGAGATTAATGAAAACACAGACACAACATATCGGAATCTATGGGACACATTGAAAGCAGTTCTAAGAGGAAAATTCATTGCTTGGAGTTCATTCCTTAAAAAAAGAAAAAACCAACAAATAAATGATCTCATACTTCATCTCAAAATCCTAGAAAAAGAAGAGCAAAACAACAGCAAAAGAAGTAGAAGGCAAGA